AAAGGAAGATGGAAGGAATCCATGGAATCACTTTATGGAAAAGAACCAGCCAATATTGAAAAATTTCAGGAAGTAGCATATGAACAATTGTGACGGAAGAAGTTGAAGCTGAATTGAAGGCATTGGTAAAAAGTAGGTACCCAGGAATTGATGGGATGTCAATTGACATATTTCAATGGCAGATGCAGCTTTGGACATGCTTACCACTGTATGCTAGGAAATCTGGACATCAGTTACCTAGTCAACTGGCTGGAAAGGATCCATGTTTGTTCCAATTCTCAAGAAGGGTGATCCGACAGAATGTGGAAATTATAAAACAATATCATTAATATTGCATGAAAGCAAAATATTTCTAAAAATCATGCAAAAATGGTTAGAACAGTACATTATCAGAGAATTGCTAGAGGTTCAGGCTGGATTTGAAGAGTAGATATCATTGCTGGTGTAAGATGGATCTTAGCTGAAAGAAGAGAATACTAGAAGAATGTCTGTTTGTGTTTTGCTGACTACGCTAAGGAATCCGACTGTGTGAATCATAACAAACTATGGATAATATAAAGAAGAATGAGAACTCTGGAACACTTAATTATATTTATATAAAACCTATAGACCAGGAAGAACCAAGAACCTAGACCGAGAAGCTGTTTTCTGAACAGAGCAGGGGAACACTGTATGGTTTAGATATGAGAAAGTTGTGTCATGGCTGTATCCTTTCTCTATGCCTATTCAATCTGTATGAAGAGCAACACATTAGAGAAGTTAGAATTTATGAAGAAGAGTGTGGTCTCAGGATTGGAGGAAGGCTCATCAACAACCAACATTATGCAGATGCTACAACCTTGATTGTTGAAAGCGAGGAGGACTTGAGGTGCTTGCTGCAGAGTAGCAAGGACTGCAGTCTTCAATAGGGATTACATCTCACCCTCAAGAAAACAAATAACCTCACCATTGGGTCAGTAGGCAACAGCATAATAGATGGATAAAGGTTCAAAATTGTCAATAATTTAAATCTGCTTGGATCCACAATCAGCTTCTTTGGTACTAGGCAGTCAGGAGATCAGAAGATGTATTGCATTGTGAAAGTCTGCTCTCAGGGATCTCACCAAAGCTGTAAAGAGCAATGACATCATTTTAAAGGCCAAGGTGTGACTGATTCAAGATACAGTCTTCCCAATCACCTGTTATGTATTTGAGAGCTAGACAGTAAGAATTACAGAAGAAGAATTGATAGCTTTGAATGTGGTGTTGGAGAAAAATACTGAATATGCCATGAACTGCCAAAAGAACAGATATTGTCTTTCTTTTATATAAACAAATAGATTCTAGTTTATCTGTTATCTTGTAGAAGATGCAACCAAAATGCTCCTTGGATCATATTTGATCAGTTTCCTTTTAGATGTTCGACTAACTCATGATCTTGAAACATTTGGACACCCTTTCTTTATGGTATAACCAAATTGTGTTGGTCAGTCTCTTTCATTTGTGGTACTGTTTCAACTTTTTTCTAGAATTATTAGGCTTATTCAGTCTTATCTGTTTCTGGGTGCATTGAGTCAGTTTTGGCTCATAGTGACTCTATGTGACAGAGGACAGCTGCCCCACAGGATTCCTTTCCCAGGATAAAATATTTATGGTGGCAGATTACCTGGCCTTTTCTTTTGAGAAGCTGCTGGTGGGTTCTGGCCATTGATCTTGGGTACTTAACCACTATACCATCATGGATTCTTTCTCTATCTCTATGTCTTCCTACTTCTACAAATAAAGAAAAATAAATGCCCTAGATAAAATACCTACTATATTTGCAGTCTTTTGTGTTGTTGTTGTTATGTGCCGTTGAGTAGTCTGCGACTCATAGCGACCCTATGTACAACAGCCCTAAACTCTGCTCTGTCCTGTGCCAATCGCACTGTCTCTGACACACCCATCCCAATTACCCCAGTCACTGAATCAATCCACCTCATAGAGGGTCTTCCCCTCCTGCGCTGTCCCTCCACCCTCCCAAGTATGATGTCCTTCTCCAAGGACCGGTCTCTCCTTACAACATGTCCAAAGTATGTTAGATGGAGCCTCAGAATCCTTGCCTCCAAGGAGCCACCCGTTTTAATCCTTTCCAGGATGAATCTGTTTGTTTTCCTAACAGTCAGTGGTACTCTCAATACTCTTCTTCAGCACCACAGCTCAAAGGCATCAATTCTCCTTCTGTCCTCCTTGATCATTGTCCAACTTTCTGATGCATAACAAGTGATAGCAAAGAGGCACCGTGGTCTCCAGAGAGACACCATTGCTCTTCAGTACTTTGGAGAGGTCCCTAACAGCTGACTTTCCCATGGCAATACGTTTTTTGATTTCCTGGCTACTGGTGCCAAGAGTGTTGACTGTGGAACCAAGCAAACTAAAGCTATGAACAATCTCAATCTCTTCACCATCCATCCTGATGCTGCCAATTGGTCCAGTGGTGAGAATCTTTGTGTTCTTGACATTGAGCCTCAATCCATATTGGAGGCTGCAGTCCTTGACCCTCTGCAGCAGGTGCTTCAGGTCCTCCTCAGTTTCAGCAAGCAGGGTTGTGTCATCTGCATAATGCAGATTGTTGATAGATCTTCCACCAATCTTGACCCCACATTTCTCCTCATAGAGCCCAGCCTCCCAGATAATATGTTCTGTATACAGGTTGAAAAGGTATGGAGATAGGATGCATCCCTGGCGTATGCCCTTCCCAATTTTGAACCATGCGGTGTTCCCTTGCTCTGTTCTGATGACTGCTTCTTGGTCCAAGTATAGGTTTCTTATAAGCATGATCAAGTGTTCTGGGATTCCCATTCTTCTCAGAGTCAGCCACAGTTTGATATGATCCACAGTCAAATGCCTTTGCATAGTCAATGAAACACAGATATACATTCCTCTGGTATTCCCTGCTTTTAGCTAAGATCCATCTAACGTTAGCTACAATATCCCTAGTATCACAACCCCTTCTAAACTTTGAAAAATTTTTTAAAAACACACTATTACAGTCTTCATTTTATTATATAACCTTTTGCATGCTTCTTGTGACTTCTTCCTTTTTTTGTATCATTATGAATTCATAGATTTAAAAAATCCACTATGTTTCAATTGTTGTTGTTGTTATGTGCCTTCAAGTCAATTACTGCTCATAGCAACCTTATGAACAAATGTATCTGAATCCTTCTGTCTTTGACATTCTCACCATCTCTGACACACGTGAGACTATTGGTACATTTTGTCAATCCAGCTTGCTTCAATTCACTCTATTATTTTCCATATGCTGATTAAATTGTCACAGCATGACAAGTGGGAGCACCAAGTTCCTTCCTTTGTCTTTTCAGCTCTATTCTACACATTAAAAAAATGTATTCTTTATTTCTGTCATCAATAATATGTTCCAGGTTGAGAGTTATTTAAGGCTTTGAGCTATTCTCCAAAGAAGTCTAGATCCTTTTTATGATAAATTGTATTTTATATAAAAATCTGGCTATTAAGATTATGGACTAGATTTTTCCTGTTGTTTCTAAGCTACTCCCCCCCCCCCATTGTGTATCATTGAATCACATCCAACTGGCACAGGGGGAGATTGCCCCTCCTTCTCCAGTGGAGCTTCTGGTGGATTTGAACCATGTGCCTTCAAATTGCAGTGCAGCTTCTTGCCACTAGGCCATTAGAGCTCCAGTTTCTATGCTACTTTGGTGATGAAGTTGGGGGAGATTTTCTCTTCAAAACCACAAATTCACATTAGTATTTTGTTCAAGCATTACGAAATTACTTTTTTTATTGGACTATAATACAAGGTTTTACATGTATTATCTTTACAACATACTTGCTTGTATATTTAACGCTGACAAAAACCACAATGGCACCCCCTCCCTTCAGGGATTTTTCAGTGTCTCTCTAATTCCCATTCTTTGGTAGTTTTATTGATAGATTCATCTATGTTGGACTGACACGACTATGGAGTGTAAGAGTTTAAGATATTGGCAGGAAAGTGGTTACAGGAATGGATTATGAAATACAAGAAGGTAGGAGAATTAAGGCAAAATGGATTAAAAGAAAGAAAAATCATGGGATGGACTGGAATAAGTACAGTAAAGATAAATGAAGGAGTGACTGAGTGTGGAGTGACAAAACTTTGACTTTAGAGGTGGAGCAGTTCCATGAAGTAGCCAAGAGAAAGAAAGTAAAAGTAGGGATGTGTGGCCCTCCACCCTTACTTCCAGCTGCCCAAGGCAGCTCTATACACCTGAACTTGGCCCTATTTATGAACAATACCAAAGCAAACACATATATCCCGTATCTTGGGTGGGAATGTGAAATCTGGGACCTGATAGATGCCCAATCTCCCTGCCCTTCAGATGCCTCAGGTACATGTGGAACACGTACCATGTTCAGATGGAGTGTATTTCCCCTTCCTGCTCCACCAGCTGCAGACTCTGGGATGCTCAGTGTCCCTCTTCATACCTCTGCTCATGGCTGAGCCTCTGGCCCTCATCCAGACAGTTCTAGCTCAGCTCCTGACTGTGTTGGCCGAGAGCCAGGATACTGGCACTTCTCACAGGAAGGAGCTTGCAGGGTATGCCAACGCTAGTCCATCTGGTCCCCTGTGGGGGTCTGTCAGGCTCACCTGTGCCACCTGTCTCCAAACACAACTGAGCAGGGTAAACAGGAGGAACAGAGACAGTAAAGCAAGGAAGGCCCCCCTCCCCACCAAACCCTGCCCCAATTCTGAGACTGCAGGCATGGAGAGGTGCAGTGGGGAGGCTGGCAGGGCAGATGAGAGGACAGGGTGACTGGGGGCCAGGCCAGGAGATGACAGAGCTCTACTATTTTCTGCTCTCAATCTTGGACATTTGGCACAGGGTCCCATGCAAGGAAGTGGGATACAGGCAGCCAAAAGCCTTTCTCCTGCCCCAAGATGCTGTTTCTGGGGCAGGAGATGGGAGAGGACAGTGGTCCAGGGCTGGATCCCTGCTCTTGAAAGGCCTGGGCCCTCAGAGTGGGAAGATAAGGAAGCCAGAGAAACTTGAGTACTTCCAGCCCCCCAGCAGGTTCCCCCGACGTAGGCGCAGGGACACTCGGTCTCCTGGGTCCAGGGGCAGCAGCACAGAACTGGTGGCTGCCTCCCGGGTCACGTCTGGGTCATTGGCGAAGGCTGAGATGACAGGCCACGTGTTCAGCATCAAGCTTACCTGGAGAGCGGAGCTTGGTCAGCACCCTTCCTCCACCCTAGGCTCCTCTAATCTTAGGGTCCCCTAAAAGCTTCCTCTCCTATCTCCAGCCCCAGTGAGGGAATCTGTAGGATCCTGGAAATGCTGGGGTTGGTCAACATTTGAATGGCACATTCCCCTATACTTTGTTAGGTGGACGTTTCCCACCTTGCTCCTAACCCCTAACCCCCTGATTTGTATCACAGGATACAAACCAATTAAGGGTCTGTCCAGAGGACAGCCAAGCTCCACTTACTCTCCACCCACCCACCCCCATTCCCATCCTGAGCTGGTATGGGGCCCAGCACTTGAGTCACCTGGACAGTTTGGCGGTTGTACACCTTCACCACATGGAAGCGGAAGCTGTAGACGCCTCGGACAGGGGCCACGAAGGAGCCAGAGGCCCGATCAAAGCCACCACCTTCGTTCACCAGGACCTGGGGGAACAGACTCTGCTGAATGAGTTGGAGAAGGCCTGTGGTTCAGAGATACCCCAGGATTAGGGAAAGAGACAGTAAGTAAGGGAAAGAGTGGTTAAGCAGGAGCAAAGAGTAAGAATGATCAAATAAAAAAGAAATGGTGAGAAGGGTCCAATAGGGTGCATATGAGTAGGGAAGGGAACAGTAAGGCAACTGGTTGTTAGGGGGCAGGTAGGAGGCTGGGGTGGGGTTGGGTTTGTGTGTGTGTGTGTGTGTGTGTATGTGTTGCTTTAAGTATGAGGGGTAGCAAAGTAGGCTTGGACTCCCAGGTTCTAATGTCCTTCTGGGTCCCCTGGAGGGAATTACCTGATCAAAGTAGATAGCTCCACTGGTGCCATTGCCTGTCTCTCCCGCTGGTTCATGGTGGTGGCTCCGGACTGCAGCAAATGCCACTCGTCCTGGGGGCGCCTCTCCAAGGGCTGCTCCTCCAGGACCTCCTGCAGCAGCTCGGCCAGGCTCACAGACCACCAGACATTCCCCTTCCAGTAGCACAGGCTCTGTTCCCTCTTGGGCCCACCCAGCCCCCAGGGCCAGAAGTATCAAGGCCAAGTGTGGCCCTGGGCTGGGTGGGGAACCGGCCAGGAAGCCTTGCTTTGCCCCCAGCATGACTCTGTGTCTCTTTGACTCACTATGCCCCTATCTTCTGCTTCCTCAGCCTTGCTCCTATCTCCTGTCTTCTCCTCACGCTGCTCCTCGGTCCTCTGTCCGGTCTCACAGTCACCTGGTCTCAGCACCTCCCTCTCCATACCTCTCTGTGCCCCAAGACTCTGTCCTGCCTCTACTCTGTTACTCCTGCTGTCACTGCAGTTCCCTCCCTCTTGGCAGAGCATAAAATGACAGCAGTTGGGCCCTGGGAGGGGATGAAGGGAAGCTGCCAGAGAGGAGGGCCACAGCCAGAACCCCAGGGCAGTGTCTTCAGATGGCAATGAAGTCTGGAACTGCAGCAATAAAGAGCAAGGGTGTATACGTGTGTGTACGTGAATATGTGTGAAAGTATTGCTTGTGAATATGTGAGTGCATGAGTATGTGTGCATATGTGAATGTAATGTGTTATGTGTGTGCGAGTTTGTATTGTGGCCACAGATTCCACAGTCCCTTCTTCATCTCTTTTCAAAACTCCTCACAAATCAGCAGCCCTTCTCTGTGGCAATCCCCGCAACTCCCATCTGTTGGGAGAAAGAGGTGACCTTGTCCATTTCCCATAATTGTTTTGGTGAAAAGTGCTTGGGTCAACAGTGCCACTTTCCTTCTCTGATCTTCCATAATGTTAAGAAGCTGAGCTGCAATCCCAAATGCATGCCATTTGAATCCACCGGCTGATCCGCGGGAGAAAGGATGGGCAATTTCTGGGTTGATTATACCTCCTCTGAAAGGCCGCTGGAGGGTCAGCTACGAGCCGGTTCTGACTCAATGGCACTCAACAAAAATCTCATCCGAAGGGATTAGATGAACTTGAAGGTTTCCTGTACACTCAGCTTCCAATGAGGAGTTCCTCTAACAACATATAACAGCACAGAACAAACAAGAGCTCAGAAGAACACCGAGAGGTGAAGAGGGAGGTGGGCAGAGGGTGGGGGCACACCGTGGGGACCAGGTTTGGCTGCAGGCCAGCCGCCCCAAGGAGGCGGGGCGAGGCGGCCTCGATCGGAGAAGCCCTGTCGCGGGGCCCCTCCTCCCGCCGGGCTGCGAGCCGGGGCCCGTGCAGGGACAGCCCCCGGGAGGAGCCAGGCTGACCCCGCCCCAGGCCAGGAAGTGATTGAAAAAAACATTTGCGATGTAGGGGCGAGAGGCCCTTGTTGGGTGAAGAGTCTGGGAAGGCCCGCCCTTCAGGTCCCCTGCCTGCCCTTCTCCCCAGGGTGAAGCTGGGGGCCCGGGGCGCCGAGAGTCACCGGCGGGACGAGGTTGGAACCGGCGGCCGGGGCTGGTGGGCGCTCCTCTCGCTACCGAGGCGCAGGGAGCTGGAGGCCCAGGAGTTGGCGGAGTGGCTGCGCGGGGGCGGCGGGGCATGGGGCATGACGCAAGGGGGCTGCAGGGGGTGGGGAGGTGGGAGTGGCAAAGACCGTGGAAGCGCAGACAGGGACCTGAGGGGCCCGACCTGGTCTAATGCCTGATGAGGATTCGTCTTTAAGACGCTGGTTGGGACCCGAGGACTGCAGGGTCCCCAGAGGAGAGACTTCTCTAGTTAATACCTTTTCATCACTGTCCATTCCTTCTGGTCCAGAGAGAACCTTATTTATCCATGACTCAGTTTCCAGAGTGTCCCCTGCCTGGGTACTCTGCCCTCCCCACTGGACGGACTCAGATGCATGTCCCTCAGAGAGGTTGTTTACCAGACCAATAACTGTGGGCAGGGCCCTGTGGATAGTGGGTGTGATCTGGGAGACCAAGATTTGAAGGGGAATGGAGTTCTGAGTTTTTTTTCTTACAACTTAGGGCCAGGCGAAGCAGCGATGCCTACCTGGGGGGCCAGTTCTCTGGCCCCCGACCGCTTTGCGGTGTCTGCAGAGGCGGAGGCCAAGGTGCGGGCACAGCAACCCCATGTGGAGCGCATCTTCAGCGTAGGAATGAGCATCCTTCCGAAAGACTGTCCGGAGAACCCCCACATCTGGCTGCAACTTGAGGGCCCCAAAGAGAACGCCAGCAGAGCTAAGGTAAACGCTCCATCCTTGATCATTCTGGAAAGGACTCCCTCCCTCCCTAAGTGGGCAGAAGACTGGTTTGGGGAGAATCTTGACTTTTTGACTGTCTCACTGGCAACTGCAATGCAGTGCTCTGAGCTTTTTTCTTCTTTGCCTGAAGTTTTGGTTTCATTTCTGCAATGATGACCTGGTAAGTTGTGGGCGGTTCTGTCAGTCTTTTGGAGCGCATGATTCAATTAAAATCAACCTGTGGTGTTTGGAAAGAGTTAAGATATAACGAGGCTGAGCAACTAGGCCTCACCAAGGAATTCTCTGGGCCTGAGTTGTTGCTCTGTGTAGTTGGTTTTTTTTTTTTTTTTTTTTTTTTTCTTTTTACTCAGAGCAACCCTATGTGATAGAGTTAACAGTTTCTTGGCTGTAGCCTTTATGGAGTACAGAAGCACGTCTTTCTTCAAAGGCTGGGCTCAGACTGCTAACTTTTCGGTTAGAAACTGAGATCTTAATTGTTCGTGCCACTAAGCAGAGACTTTTTATGGAGTTAGTTGGTGAGGGGATTCCAGCCTATCTTCAACCACCTAACAGCTTTGTGACCAGAGTCTGATTTTCTTTATCAGTAAAAGTGGAATAATAGCACTATCCACTTCATTGGGCTTATTACAGAATGAGATGAAACAGTGAATGTTAGCAGTGATGATCATAATTATGGAAATACTTAACATACATAAATATAGATATTAAAGGAGATAGCATTTGAGCTAATTAATAATCTTGTTCTAGGAAGAAATAGTCAGCAACAGGCTGTGAGAAGAGTACTGAATATCCCATGGACTGTCAAAAGAACAAACAGATATGTTTTTGAAAAAGTACAGCCAGAGTGCTCCTGGATGCAAAGATACTGAAGCTTCATTTCTCATGTAGCTTGGAAAGGGTCATCATGCTTGGAAAGATGGAGGGTCAGTGAAGGAGAGGAAGACCCCCAGTGAGATGGATTTATACAATGACTTCAGCAATGGGTTGTAGTGTGTCAAAGATGATAAGGATGGCACAGGCTAGGGAAGGGTTCAGATTGGCTGTTCATGGAGTTCCTATGAGTCATACTCGACTCAGTGGCACCTCACAGCAACCACAGGATGTCAGCTGAAAAGGGAAAGAACTAAAACTCTTTATTGCTTTTCAACATCCACCTTTGTTGGGAGCTGTGGGACTCCATTGCTGTGCCCTGGGCAGAGAGCTGTGAGGCTGAAGGGCTGACTAGCCACTTAGGATTCTAGCAGTTTCCTTTTTTCCTCTCTCCTCCTCTGGCTCCCAGGAGTACCTGAAGGGTCTCTGCAGCCCTGAGCTGCAAGGTGAGATCCACTACCCGCGCCGGCTGCACTGCATCTTTCTTGGAGCCCAGGGCTTCTTCCTTGACTGCTTGGCCTGGAGCACGACAGCCCACCTGGTGCCCCTGGTGCCTGGCTCACTGATGATCAGCGGCTTGACTGAGGCCTTCGTCATGGCTCAGAGCCGTGTAGAGGAGTTGGTACAGCGGCTGAGCTGGAACCTGTGGCCAGAGCAGTCCCTTGGAGCTTCTCAGTCTGCTGGCATGCTAAGAGACTTCTCTGCCCTGATGGAGCCCTGGGGGGATGCCCACAAAGAGGCCCTGCTGCAGCTGCCTCCAGCTGTCCAGGAGGAACTACTGAGTTTGGTGCAGGAGGCATCCAGGGGGCAGGGGCCGCAGGCATGCTCCTCTGGGGAGAGGAGAAGCCCAGACCTCATGGGTGCTAAGCTCCTGGGAGTTGGGGGTTCCTTAAGTGAAGGCAGGAATTCCTTAGACACTGGATCTATGGGGCAAGAAGAATCAGGGGGTGAGAGACATGCTTTAGAGAAGGTGGGAGGGAGACACACTGGTGGTGCCACCCAGATGTATGTAGGGTGGACAGAACCACCCAGGGAAGAGGCTTGGGAGAGAGACAAAGTCTTCAGGTCACAGTTAGGAGCAGGAGAGGTAGAGGCAGCCGGGCCCCTAAAAGGGAAGGCCATGGTGCAGGAGAGGCTGACTCAGGAGAGAGGAGGCTTCTATGCCCAGGGTGAGCCTCTCGGTGCTCATTGCTCCTCACAGAGGGCAAGTCAGCCTCGGGGAGCCTCCCTTCTCCAGCGGCTCCATAATGGGCAAACCTCACCTCCAAGAGTGCCGAGCCCCCCCCCTGCACCCGAGCCCCCATGGCACTGTGGTGACCGGGGAGACAGAGCAGACAGGGTGGACAAAGAAGACAAGCAGCAGATAGGGACGCGGGGCCGGGGGTCTCCGTGGAAACGGGGCACCCGGGGGGGCAACTTGGTGACTGGCACACAGCGTTTCCAGGAGGCCCTCCAAGACCCTTTCACCCTATGCCTTGCCAATGTGCCCGGACAGCCAGACCTCCGCCATATTGTCATTGACGGCAGCAACGTGGCCATGGTGTAAGTACATTGGGGGGCAGAGGGGGGAGGCGATAAGAGCATCGTGGGGTGAGGTGGGAAGGGGAAGGATTAGACAAGTATCTGTCCACCTTGGGGACATGTGCAAAGAAAGGGGCCAGCTTCCTACCAGGCTCCTGACCCCCAGACTGTGGACCCCTTCCCGCTGCAGGCATGGCCTCCAACACTACTTCTCCAGCCGGGGCATTGCCATTGCTGTGCAGTACTTCTGGGACCGTGGCCACCGGGACATAACTGTCTTTGTGCCTCAGTGGCGCTTCAGTAAGGATTCCAGGGTCAGAGGTAAGTTGAGCCTGATTTTTTATGCCCTGTGACAGATCCCTTGTGGATATGCCTCCATGGAGATAACACTTCTGTTTCTTCTTCTGTAGAGGGCCACTTTCTACAAAAGCTGTACTCCCTCAGCCTGCTTTCCCTCACTCCCTCAAGAGTCATGGACGGCAAGAGGATCTCCTCCTATGACGACAGGTACTTTTCATCTTTTGAACTGTACTTGATATTCAGAGGAGCCCACTGAGAGAATGATGGAGAGAGAGAATTTTACATTTTTCAAGCCTGAGGAAAGGACTAACTATTTTTGAGTGTCCCCTTGTGACTGGGTAGGTAAACTTGTCTGAGAGTGATGAGGTAGACTGTGAGCAATAGGTGGTTCAATCACCATTTATTTTTCATTCATCTACTGCTTAATGATCCTTAATGATGTTTTTTATTTTATTTTTTTAAATTATTTTTTTGTGTGTACTGTCAAATCAGATCTGACTGGTACACGAGGAGATTGTCCCTCCTTCTCCAGCAGAGCATCTGGTGGATTCGAACCATTCACCTATGGGATTGCAGTGCAGCTTCTTGCCACTAGGCCACCAGAGCTTGCCTTAATGATGTCTTGTAGTTGAAAAACTACTGACTTAATGGAATGGAATGGACTTGCGTGTCAGAGATTGTGCGGGTGGCACAGGATAGGACAGGGTTCTGATCTGTTGTTCTCAACTTGACGGCGCCTAACAACAACAGAAAACAATGGAAAGAGAAACTGGTGACATGATTAGCTGACCGTTGCCTTCTTATAACCTAAATTTCTAAACACAGAATTTCCCCCTAACAATTTAGTAAACTTTAAAGACAATAAAATGAAGAACATGAATAGTATGACTATCCACAGCATGATATATATACTAGAATGATCACTGGGTTTGAAATCTGAACATTGGGAGTAGACCCACTTATTCAGTGACTTACTTTCTCTCAGGGTCCCCCTCCTTCAGTTTCCTTACAAATACAAAAAAGAGAAGGTATGTGCTTGTTTAAGCCAGGCGTAAGGGAAGAACAGAAGGGTTATTACTTTGCATTAACTCAAATGTGGCAGAAAGATATTGTTCCTATTATTATAGATGAGGCTGATAGTAAGTGTGACTGGCTGTCTTGACAAAGGCTACTAAGTGACAAAGGCAATATTAGAACGCAAAGCTCTGAGAAGAGTTGCCAGATGGTTTAAACAAAAAACACAGGACACACTCCCTCCCTATACCTGGTGTGGGAAATGGGTAGATTTTAAAAGCCAATTAACCGATTGAAAATTATAAGGTCCTTTTTCTCTAGGCTATTACTCAGTTTTACATGAACAATTAGCTTGTAAATCGTAGTGATTATAAAACTTTCGTGCAAATCACTGTAAAATGTTAAAAACAAATGGCAGCAATTATATATTTAACGGTTTCAAATATTTATCACCTCAAAAAACAAACAGATGCCTTTGAATTGTAGTGCTGGAGAAAGGTATTGTATATCTCATGGATGGCCAAAAGAACAAACAAGTCTGCCTTAGAGGAAGTACAACTTGCTTCTTAGGGGTGAGAAAAGACCTCATGCTGGAAAAGGTAGAGTGGCACCGAAAGAGAGGAAGACCCTCAACAAGATGGACAGACACAGTGACTGTGACAGTGGGCTTGAGTATTTCAGAGATGATGAGGACGGCACAGGATAGCTCAGGTTTTAGATCTGTTGTTAATAAGGTTACTAGAGTCATGGTCCACTCAGTGGCACCTCACAAGCAAAGAAACAAGTAACAGGCTACAAAAATGCTCTTCTCCCATGCTGTTCTGTTTTATGCCTAGAGTCACAGATGTTTCAGGTGTGGAACATTCTTTCTACATCAACACTGTAACAATTGAAAGTGAAGGTTGAGTCACTTTTAATGAAATTTGTACAGTTGTGTAACACCTGGTAGGCAGACAACACTATATGAACTTGGACTTTGTTAATGGTGAACAAGCAAAGTGGTGCATAGCACAGATCTGCTGTGTGTAGGCTGTGAACAAGACACAATGTAGCTTAACAGTAAACCATGCTTAACCAGGAAATACACCAGGCCTAGATTTATATACACCACCCCCTCAATTTCTATCCTAGGTAGAAACTCAGAACCAAACATCTGGGGAACCCACTCCTGAATCCCAGTCTCTCTGTACCACACGTTCTTTCAAAAATCAACTGTCCAACTCATCTTGGTTGCATGTCCTACAGAAGGAAGTGGGAACTCTGGGAACAAACTTGATTCTTATCTTCAAAGAGCCAAAACCACCCTCTCTGAACACCTACAAATAAAATACTTTTAGGAATTCAGAGAAAGAGGAGCCCATTCCTGGCAGAGGCTGTGTATTTTGGGGAAGGGAGATTTCTGTGTGGTGTTGGAGAATGAGGTGGGATGCTCTGCATCTCTCAATTTCACATCTGTTAAAACATCCCACTTAGCACTCATGAGTATTATTCTTGCCTGTGGAACTCAGAATTACCGAAGTGAGGTTCAGTAGCTGCTTCCCAGATGGAAGGACAGTTTGTGAAACACAGTGAAAGAGCACAGGGCATATTTGGAGATTAGGGTAAAATCTGATGATTTTGGCTGGAGTTGAAGGTATGTTAGGGAATGCTGGGAGAGATAAGACTGTAAGGATAGCTTGGAGCTAGGTCCTGGAAGGCCTTAGCTGCCAGGGTTGGGCATGTGGACTTTATTTGGTAGGCAAAGGGCCACTGTAGGAGAGTTTTGTATAGAGGAGGAACATGTTCTTTTGAGAATAAACTGGAAAGTGGTTGAAGGTGGGTGTCCCACTTGTCAGGAGACTTGCAGTGTCCCAATGGAAATATCCTAATAATTAAAGATGATAATGGTGAGACTGGAAAGGAAGGGGGTATAATTGAAAGACTTTTCAGAGAAAGCATACTGGTGGGGTAGAGTGGAAGGGGAAAGAACCAGCTTTTACTGTTTTGTTGTTGTTGATTGCCTTTGAGTCGAGCACAACTTATAGTGACCCTATGAACAAAAGGCTTGAAGCCCTTCTACAACTATCAACACATATCACATTTACTGTATTAAAGAAGCACAAAGTATAGATGAGGGATTGTGGTGAGTGGAAGTGTTATTGGGGAGACCAAATTAGATTCATATTTTTTCCTAACTCTTGGCTTCTATATCAAGTCACCTGGTTGCATGGTCAAGGTGGGGAGAAGTACCAGAACTTTGTGACTAGAAGTGGGTTATAGTTTCTGGAATCCTGGATAATCCAAGAATGGCTGCCCTGGTTTTTGAGATAGGTTTATGGTGAAGTTGGCTGAAGAGACAGATGGGATCATCGTCTCCAATGACCAATTCCGGGACCTGGCAGAGGAGTCTGACAAATGGATGGCAATCATCAGAGAGCGGTGAGGGAGCCCTCTCCTGAGATGGGGCAGGGACTCAGATCTTTCTCTAAAACCGGCTTTGCTCTGGTGTCAGGTGGGAACTATGAGAAAGGGTTGACGTTGCTTCAAAAGATGGTATCCCACAACTTCTGTTGGTGCTGGTCTCACCTGTCTGGGAGTAGGCAGGGGCTCCCTCTGTGACTACACATTCTCTGTCCCCATCTAGCCTGCTGCCTTTTACCTTTGTGGGAAACCTCTTCATGGTCCCTGATGACCCACTGGGGAGAAATGGTCCCACCTTGGATGATTTCCTGAAGAAGCCAGTCAGGTAATGCTCCACGTTCTCTTGCAGACAGCCCCCAGCCTTGACCATCTCTGCAGGAAGTCTTGCAGGCCTGGAGACCTCAGTGTAACCCTCATTTAGGCCAACTTAATTCTTTACTACTTTGGTCATGTTGTAAAGGAGAGACCGCTCCTTGGAGAAAGACATCGTGCTTGGGAGGGTGGAGGGCAGGCTCAGGAGGGGAGGGCCTTCTGGGAGATGGATTGATTCGGTGACTGGGGTGATCGGGATGAGTGTGTTGGAGACAGTGAGATTGGCACAGGACAGAGCGGAGTTTAGAGCTGTTGTACATAGGGTTGCTATGAGTCGCAAGCGACTTGACGGCACATAACAACAACAACAACAGTTTGAGTTGCACTGGGCTTGGTGAGGAATCCTGAGACAGAACATCTTAATAGGGAGGGGAATTCTTATTTCCCCTAACCAGTACTTTTGATGGAGTTATTTCTAAAGTGGGTTTGCTTTGATTTCCAACTTCTGCTGGATCTTTAAATGATTAATTTACTAGGCTAGAACTAGATCATAATAGTGGCCGGGTTCACCCTCCTGATTCTAAAGGAATATCATCTCCCTTTCAGGTGGGTTGATTCCAGTGGTCATCTTGAAGAACTTTATAATTCCTAGAGCCAGGAATAAAACAAAAAACCTGTTGCACTGTGTTAATTCTGACTCAGAGGAAGCCCTACAGGACAAAGTACAACTGCCCCATAGGGTTTCCCACGTTGGAGGCCTGGTGGAACAATGGTAAAGTGTTTATCTGCTAACCTAAAAGGTGATGGTTTGAACCCACCAGTGGAATAAAGATGTGGCAGTTGCAATTAATTTGATGGCAGTGTTTTATTGTTTTAATTGCTTTTCTGTTTTCACTCTTTATGGAGCATGTTGTTGTTAGGTGCTTTCAAGTCAAGTATGACTCATAGAGACCCTATGAACAAAAGATCTGAACCCTGTTCTATCCTGTGCCATCCTCACATTTCCTGACACACGAAGAGCCCATTGGCGGCAGTCACCACACCAATCCACGTGGATGAGGGTCTCCCTCTCCTTTGTAGGGAAGCATACTGCCACATATTTCTTCCGTGGAGCTTTGATAGCTTTGAGCGTGGATAGCTTTGAGCTGCTGACCCTTTTGTTGGTAGCTGAATGTTTCACTGCTGTGCCACCAGGGTTCCTTGAATTAGGAACAAGCAGGGAAATTAGCTGGGAGTTGTTGTTATCGAGTTGGCATGGATCCATAACTGACCCAGTGGGTTTTCAGAGGTAATTAATCGCACAGGAGGAGATTATGCATCCGTCTGCCCTGGAGCAGCTGGTGGATTTGAACTGTGTGCCTTCAGGATTGCAGTGCTGCTTCTTATCACTAGGTCACCAGTGTTCCCTGGAGTGGGGAGCTCTGTAATTTCCCTCCAGGAGGTTCTTCAGCTTTTCATGTTCTCTCTGCTTCTTCCCAGGACATCAGGGTCGTCTGAGGTTCAGCATCCTTCCAAGGGCATTGCTAAGCCTAGCACTCAGCAGCCGGGGAAAGAAGAGGAGAAAGGTGGTGGTGGCATTCGGAAGACTCGTGAGACAGAGCGGCTTCGGCGCCAGCTGCTGGAGGTGTTTTGGGGTCAGGATCACAAGGTGGACTTTATCCTGCAGCGGGAGCCATACTGCCGGGACATCAACCAACTCTCAGAGGCCCTTCTCAGTCTCAACTTTTGAGCCTTATCTGCCTAAGTGGTTGCTGTCCATTAGCTTCATTCACACCCAGCTCAGTCCCTTCTGTGAGAGCCCTGCTCAGAACCTGACCCAGGCTCTCCCGAGGTGGTGGTTTGGGTGAGGAAAGCACTGCATCAAGGAAGAGAATTCTGTAGTCAGGGATGCATTTGTCTGGGGTACTTTTGGGATAGGTCTTATAAAAGAGCCTGATTGCATCTGGGTCAGGACCTCAGCCAACTCTCAGGAGGTTCTGCTCAGTCTTGACCTTTCAGTTTTGTCTTAGCCCATGGATTCTGTCAGGAGTGGGGGCTGCTGGAAAGGATAAGCCTTCCACAGAGACTGAGATTACCAGTCCCACCTGCAAGCTGAGTTGAGGATGGGAAACAGAGTGAGTAGTAAGGAGATGAAGCCTTTCCTTCACCTGGTTATCAGCTGACAAGGTGCTGCTCAGGCCTGGCAGGGCTTCCAGAGCTGTTGGTAGAAATGCTGGACCCTGGAAAGACTGCAGGGTTAGGTGGGCTGGTCACAGTAGGGGAGATGGGATGCAGGGGGATTCCGGCTTCTGGTTTCAGCTATGCTTGTCTGGGACCTAGACTGGGTTAGTTAGCTTGTGTTTCTGTCTGTTAAGTTAGGGGTAGAATTACGTGGGAGGATCTACGGCAACGAAGAGTAAAGCTCTATGTTAGAAAGGTCTCAGGTGCCGCACAGGTTTGCTAACCAAGACCTAACTTTCAGAGAGCTGTGGGCTGTCTGTCCCCTAGGCATCCACCTGTGCCCTGGCTTTTAACTTAAAGAGTTAAAATGTGCCCTATCACGGCTGCATCCCTTTTGGGCAAACCTCCAAATCCACATTCATAAAATATAGCTAAGTTAGGGGGTAATTTTTTGTATTACCAAAATACTCAGGGTTCCTTTGAATGGCAGCTCTCCCATTGCAATCAAATGTTTACAAATTAACCAATGTGTCAGAAAGTCCCCTGTTAAATATACTTACCGATATGCTGGGAACAATCACAAAACCAATGAAAATAGGTTCTGCAGTGACAATGTGATCTGACCCTAACATTTTGTCTGCACAACATACCAACATATAAAAAAGAGGCACACTTCTATTTTGTGTGCACGTGTATGTGTGTGTATGGGGTGGGAGGGTTTATAAAGGTTGTATCTTGAACTGATTATGTGGAAAATGAAAGCCAAAGAATTGGAAGGTACCATGCTGGTTTCCAAACTTAACACTGTCATGTCGGGACATTCTTGACCATGATTTCTGTATGTCATCATCCTGTATCTGCTTGAAGTTCTCTTGTTCAGTGAAGTTACTGCTTCACAGGTCAGCACGTCACATCTTTGGGCAGTATTACTCACTTATCCTTTATTGAGTGCAGCCCCAAATATGCTTTTGTATTACTTCTGCTTTCGAGGCTTGTCATTCCCTCAGGAACAGTAGAGCCAGTCAAATTCCTAGAGAAGTGTCTAAAACTAGAGAAAAGAAGAGGATAGGCACCTGACAGTGTATCTGGACCCTACAGCAAGCTGGGCATGAACTTTTTCATACCTGTACGTCCTTACTCTGAGAGAAACAAGTTGAATGCTGTTGCCCTAGTCCCTCATTCTAACAGCTAGCCTGGGGAGCTAAATGATGAGTGAGTTCCTAGGTCCCATGGGCTTACACTACTATCCTTCCCATAACTGATTTAAAGCACAAGGCAGGTTGGGGATGAGTCTGTTAGGAAATGGCTGGAGGTGACAGCCATTGAGAGGGGTGACTGAGGGAGGTGACAAACCCCTAGGAAGAAAGGATAATGGCCAATGTGGCCTGAATTGGGGGCTGAGGTATCACTTCTGGTCAAGTGTAGAGACAGAAAGGGAAAAGAGCCTACAAAACACTTGGGACTGCCATTGAGTTGAATTTCCTGTTGAATGCTATATCCTTGTCTCTCTCACTTTCAGTATAAAAAGTGTGAATGGGCCAGAACTATTTTCAGTTCTTTTGTGCTAAGGACTCTCCAGGTGACTAAAGTGATCCATTCAGCTAAGAGGCAAGTTCTATACTTTCCACAGGCAGAGAGGATGACTTTGTCCTCTGAATGAACTGAGACCACTATGTGCTTCATTAGCTACCTCCCATTTAGTGACATGGGCCAAAGACTCTCAAAGATCTGGCCTCTTCCTCTGTCAGCATCGTGATGGCACTCTCTGAAGGGTGACCACTACACCTACTAGAAATAGGTCTTCATTTCTCTATTTTTTCGCAACCTCAAACTCTCAATTTGTTTCCAACACTTATGACAACTGAGAGACCAGGGGGATGGATGGATGAAGAGAAATACTGTTCATTGTAACTTTCAAAACCCTGTATAAGGTAGAGTTGATCTAAGGTGGTATTCCTTGAAATAAATGCTAAGTGAACCTGGACCAAAGAGATGAGCCAAAGCTAGTGACATAATTTATTTTTATTGTTTAAACTGTAGAGCATTTTTGCTTTGCATAAAGGAGAACTGAGGCATGAATGAGACAGGAAGCCAACCTAGGAAACTTTATGGGAAGGAGTTGAGGTCTTCACTTGATGGATTTACAACTTCAAGACTAGTGACAATCTCTTAGTTAAACAAGGTGGAGCAACAAAACAATGGGGGCCAGAGGAAGGAGGATTCCCTAAGAATGATGATGTCAGAGCTCAAGTTAGAGGCATACTGGCCTCTTCACAGTGTCTAACCTAGAAGTCACAGCTGGAGGGAGAGGCCTCAGGCCTCTACCATCAGTCTCATTACTTAGGCTACAGCGTCCTTTAAGGCATCTTCTAGCTTTGGATAGGAGTACTGATAGCCAGTGGCCAGTGTGCGCCGTGGGACCACCTTCTGGCCCTCCAGCAGCATGATGGCACGCTCTCTCCCAAAGACAGCTTGCACCACAGCGCTGGGGAGGGGGATGAAGGCTGGGCGACCCAGAGCGGCACCCAAGGCCTTGGCAAACTGAGCATTGGTGGTGGTGGGAGCTGGAGCTACTCCATTAAGGACTCCATGTACATGTCTTGCTTCAAGGGAATGTGCCAAGATTCCTACCAGGTCACTGATATGAATCCAGGGGAAGAATTGGTGGCCGGAGCCTATGGGGCCTCCTAGACCCAGACGGAAGGGTAGCAGCATCTGGCTAATGGCACCACCTCCACGACCCAGCACAACTCCTAGAAGAGGCAGAAGGGATGGCACTATGTAGCCCCCTTAGCCTACAAGCAGCTCCACTGCTCCTCCCTATTTGCTGTTCCTCATCCTCTTCCCCTGCCAGCATAGCTCTGTAACAGCTGAAGAGTGTGGCTTCCTTTGAGACTTCCCATTCTCCTATCTGAAGGTTGACCAGAAACAGTAGCACTCTCCCACTGTTAGGTCCCTAGTCACATTCTTCCCCAATGCCCAGAGATACTCCAGTCTCCCCAATTCCCTGGTCCCTGGTTCTCACCAGAGCGCACCACCACCTGGCGTGTAGAATCTCCAGGAAGCTTGCCTGCAGCTTCCCATTTGGTTACGAGGTTGGAGAAGAAGTCAAAATCTCCTCCAGGGCTGTCCTCATCATATTCTGCAGTCAGGCTGGGCTGGTAATAAGCTGCCAGTGAAAGAGAATTCAGCTGCCCTGGACATCGTTGGTCCTCTTTGGGGTTGAGGTTTCCCTTGACTAAGGGTAACTCCTTAGCCCTTAGAATTTCTTCATGGGGAAACAGATCCACAGGTATTTTCCCCTTGACCTTCTCCATGATACCGACCTGTAAGTATTCTGGGGGAATGCTTACCTTTGGTTGCAGGACTAAGTGAGGTTGCTAGAATGTGGTGGCTAAGAATGCCAGCCTTCTGAGTTTTAATCTCAGCACTAAGTTCTGTGTTCTTAGAAAAGTCACTCAACACTGCAGAATTTTCATATCTTTAAAATGGAATAAGAATACCTACCTGATAGAATTGTTTTGGGGATTAAATGATGTAATATGTATAAAACACTCAGCATAATGCCTTGTATATTCATTGTAATTGTGTCCTGTTATTTGGTCCCAAATGTAAAATGTAAGAACCAAGAATTCTATTCCTAATGAACTGTAATAAGAGAAGTAAGCAAGGGACCTGGGAGCAGGTGGGATGTTCCCTGGCTCTGGTACGTGTGTCACTTCCTCCTGTTTCTCCAGGGGTCTTCATTTCTTAGTGAAACTATACAAGATTAAATGAGATTTGCATCCACTGAGAGCCCAGGAATTTAACTGTCCTAGGAAACCTGGGCTCTGGGCTGGATATGGTTAGAAGGACTTAAATTACCAACTCACTCTATATTCCCCTCCTCCTGGCTAACTGGAGTTGGTGATCTGGGACATACCTACTCCTGTGACTAAGATCCAGGTCTTGGGGGGCTGTGGGGCCTTGGAGATGGTGGTTGCTAGCATTTGGGTGGTCTCCAGCCGGCTGTCAAGAACCTCTTTTTGGAAGGCTTCATTCCACCTGCAGAGGCAACAAAAAACACTGAAATACAGAGATTTAGTTCTCAGTCTCCCTGGAGTATGCACCCATTTCTAGTAAAATACTACTGAGGCTTAGAGAATGGCTGAGGCCTCCTGCAGAGGGATAAGGCCTATCAATCTTGGGCACCCTCAGTTACTATCAATGGAGCTAAGAGGAAGGTGGGAAGAGGTTGGAAAGCCAAATCTAGTTCTTGGTCTGGGTGTTCCAGTGCCACAGATCAAACTCTTCTCCTCGGCAAAGACACTGTGCTGGGGATGATTACTGGTTTTAGGGCTCGCTGACCTTCGGAGAGGGTTGAGGATGTTCTGCCCGGCCAGGTTGACAGCAGCATCACAAGGGGGCAGTCCTGAGCTAGCGAGCTCCTCCTGGCAGACAAAATACACAGTACACCAGGCTCTGCTCTGCTGAGCCACCCCTTCCCGTCCTACGGCTGGACATACCCACGTGATCCGGTCTGGCCCAGGTTTTCGGGAGACCAAAGTCACTTCGTGGCCCCGGGCTTTCAGCAGCTGGACGAGGGCTGTCCCAATGAAGCCCGTGCCACCACCTGGTTGAAAACTCAGCGTTATTGATCCTTCCCTGCAAGTAACCCGTTCTCTGGTGCCACCCCTCTGGGCTCCAGTATTCTCCTTCCTCCCCAACTTCCTGAGATTTAGAGGTGACAGGCCACTGGAAATTAGGCTTCTCGGGCTAGGAGACCATCCAAAGTGAAGCTGCTTGTGCACTAGGGACAGCTAAAACTTTTCCCCCCATAAGCACGCCCCCTCCCCCGCCTCCTAGTCTGCCCTCCCTCACCCACAAGGACTCGCATAGCGACCAGGACCCAATGCGCCTGTGCAAGATTGGAGCTATCCCTCCCACTCCCAGAGACTGGCGGTCCACGACCTCTTTGCGCATGCGACTCCGGAGCATGCCTTGCATAGGAGGGCGGGGAAGAAAGGGATGGTGGGCGTGGCCTTGCAGGACTACCCGGAAGAATTAAAGAACTAGGCTGTTCGATTTAGGTATTAAATAAATGGTCATAAGACATTTATTTCATTAAGGTGAGGAGTGTGGAGATTTGAATTATCCTTTACAACTGGTTCAAAAAGGCATAATTGCCATCGTAAATAAGGACCTCATAAATATCCTCACCACTGGGCCAGGTGGCAGCTTTATGATAGAGATTGTTAACAACTTTAGCTTGCTTGGTTCCACAGTCCACCAGCAGTCAGGAAAGAAAAAGACAAATTGCATTGGGAAAATCTGCTGCCAGGGACCTCTCTAGAGTACTGAAGAACAATGATGTCAGTCTGGAGACTAAGGTGCACCTGATTCAGGCCATGGTCTTGGCACTTACTTGTGTTGCATCAGGGAGCTGGACAATAACTAAGGATAATAGAAGAAGGATCAATGCCTTTGAGTTGTGGTGCTGGAGGAGAGTGTTGCCGGGAGAACAAAGAAGTCAGTCCCAGAGAGGGTGAAACCAAGCTGTCCCCTGCAGGAAAGAATTTTGAATCTCCATATCACATACTTCGGGCAGGTGACCAGGAAGGACCAATCTTTGTATCACAACATAATGTTTGGAAGAGTGGAGGGACAGAACAGGAGAGGAAGACCCAAGATGAAATGGATTGAATTAGTGACTGAAGAAATGGGATTAGGTCTGTCGGAGATAATGAGATTGGCACAGGATAGTGTACATAGTGTTGCTATAAGTTGCAGGTGACTTAACATCACATCACAATAATAACAATATGAACAAGAGCCAATGATAATGAAGCCGTTCAAGCTGCATTGAAGGTACTGGCCAGAAATAAGGTCTCAGGATTTGATGTGATACCAGTTGACATGTTTCAAGTAACAGGTACAGCCCTAGACATGCTCACCAATCTATGCCAGGAAATTTAGAGGGTAGCTGCTGGCCAACTGGCTGGAAGAGATCTGTATTTGTTCCCATTGCCAAAAAAAGTGACTCACAAGGAACATGGAAATTATAGAACAATATAAATATCACTGCAACCAAAATATTGCTGTAAAGCATCCAAAAGTGACTAGAACAGTCCATTTATAGGGAACTGCCAGAAATTAAAGCTAAATTTAGAAGAGGTTGTGGCTGCAGGTGTATCATTGCAGATGTCAGATTGATCCTGGATGAAAACAGAGACTACCAGAAGAATGTCTATTTGTAATTTATTGACTGTGCAAAGGCATTTGAATGTGTGGATCATAACAATGGCTAACATCGAGAAGAATAAAAATCCCAGAACACTTCCCTTTGCTCATGTGAAATCTATATCTAGATTAAGAAGCTGTTGTCTGAATGGAGTAAGGGAACACTGCATAGTTGAAAATCAAGGATCAGGGATGTATTCTCTCTCCATACCTATTCAGTCTGTATACTGAGCAAATAATTAATGAAGTCTAACTCTACAAGGAGAAATGTGACATCAGGATTGGAGGAAGACTCATCAACAACCTGCGTTATGCAGGTGACACAACCTTGCTTGCTGAAAGTGAGGAGGACTTGTAATCTTGCTGCAGAAGGTCAATAACTACAGCCTTGGTATGAGTTATGTATCAGCATCAATAAAACAAAGGACTGAAGTTGTCAATGATTTAATCTTGTTTGAATCCACAGTCAACATACTTGGTCCAGCAGTCATGTAATCAGGAGATGTATTGCATTAGGAAAGTCTTCAGTCAGAGACTTCTCCAAAATACTGAAGAGTATTGATGTCAATTTGAAGACTAATTAGATGTGCCTAATTCAAGTCATGACATTTTCAGTCACCTGCTACCCATATGAGAGGGGAACAATGAATAAGGATGACAGAAGATAAATTGATGCCTTGAGTTATGGTATTGGAAAAAGTATGCTGGATATCCATGGACTGCCAAAAGAACAAACAGATATGTCTTGGAAAAAGAACAGCCAAGTGTTCCTTGGAGACAAGTTTCATTTCTCATACTTTGAGCATGTTGCTAAGGAGAAACTATTCCTTGAGAAAAGACATAATGGTTGTAAAGGTAGAGGGTCAGTGAAAGAAGAAGATTCCCAATGAGATGGTTTGACCAGTGAGAGATGGCTTGACCATTGATTGCAGCAACAGGCTCAAGTGTGTTAGAGATGATGAGGATGGCACAAGATAGGACAGGGTTCAGGTTTGTTGTTTATAGGGTCCCTATGACTTGTACTCAACTTGCAGGCACCTAACAACAACACAACAAGATGTAGTGGCCTAGTGGCGAGGAGATGCATTGCAATGTCAAGACCATGCACCTTTGGGTATTCCACCAGATGCTCTGTGGGGGAAGGATGGGCAAGCTCGTCCTGTGTGATTTGTTGTTGTTATTGTGTGCTGTTGAGTTGGAACTGACTCATAGCTGACCCACCAGCAGGTTTCAGAGGTGGTAAATTGCAGAAAATGGTCTGATTTACCACCTCTGGAAAAAAAACCTACTGGAGGATCAGCTATGAGTTGAGTTTGTTCCAACTCAAAGTCACACAACTACAACTATGGTGCACTTTAACTAATGAGCCACTTTGGCTTCTATCTCTACAGAATCCTGTTAACAATCCAATCTTTCATGTCAAGGTTCTGAAACTTTCAGGAGAAAGAACTGTGACAGGACTTTTGGAGAACAACACGATTGCCAGGGACTCTGAGAGTAACACCTTCAGAGAAGTATTATAGGTCACAGTCTCCGAGAGCAGCACAGCTTTTTGTTTGCAATGTAAGCACATACAGCCCTGGTTTACATTGGCTATGACTGAGCTGTTTTGAACTGGCTAAAAGCCCTGGTTAGAATCATAAGGTAGGGAAAGAGAATAGGAGGCAGAAGAGGAAAAGTTTTAGTGCAGGAAAACGGGAAGATTTTAATGCAAGAAAAGCCCTGTATCTTAAAACTCAATGCTGTCTGAGCACTGACTTCTGACTGTTCATTTGGTTTGGTAGGTCAGTAATCTAACAGAAACTACCCACCTCTCTTGTGGATTTGTTTTTACATGTATATTATATTCCCCCTTCTCCTTGGTCTATTTCCTTCCTATCAGCACTTAAAATTTCAAAGTTTCCTCTCCTCATTTAAAAATATCTTCCCCAGTCTTCTTCATTCTCCATCCTTCTCTTGCCTTCATAGCTGAATGTCTCAAATGAGTGGTATCCATTTTCTATTCCCCAATTCACTCACTATCCTCTGACTGTTGCTTCCTGCCTGTCTCTCCAAGGGTATCCATTTCCCACGTGCCATCAAATGCAATGCCTAATTTCCAACAATTCCTCTTGACTTCTGTCACTGGACCTAAGTCAACTCTTCCTTTCCTTTACAAAGTCATCTTGGCATCTGTTAAGCCACACTCTTTGGTCTGTCTCCTTCTTTAGGGCTTTTCTCTCATCTTTCTCCCAGCTTTTTTTTTTTTTAACCCTCCTTTACCTGATCTTCTTCCTCAATGATCTTAAAATGTCATAATTCCTCAAAGATTGTCTTAGGCTATTCCTCTCTTCCTATTCTGTACTTTTCTACCAGTCAATCTCACATAAATAAGGAATTAAATAATCAGCATTTCATGTATGACTTCTCAAATTCAACTGACATCTCTCCTCAGAGCTCCTGATTTCTATTGTGGAGTTTATCTTTCAAAATTACTTTCCTAGCCATCGAATCTGACTTGACCATGTGAATGAGTGGGAATGTGTGAATCAGGTGTGTTAGTCTATCCACAAAGGGATAGGCTATCTCACCATTCCACAAGGGGATTGGCTAGTCTCACCAATCTACTTCCAGAGTACTGAGAAGCAACAATATCAGTCTAGAGACTAAGGTGCGCCTGATCCAGGCCATGGTATTTGCAGAAGAGTCTTGAACATACCATGAAACACCAAGAAAACAATTAAGTATGTCTTGGAGAGGGTAAAACCAAGTTTCTCCTTGGAAGTTAGAATTTTGAATCTCAGTCTCATATACTTTGAACACTTGGCCAACAGGGAGAAGGACATCATACTAGGAAGCGTGGAGGGACAGCACAGGAGAGGAAGACTCTGGATGAGATGGATTGATACAGTAACTGGGGCAATGGGGATAGGTGTGTCAGAGTGAGACTGGCTTAGGACAGGGCAGGCTCCAGAGCTTCTGTATACAGAGTCACAATGAGTTGTAGGTGACTCAATGGTACATAACAACAACAAACCAATCTACAAGGGGATTGGCTAATCTCGCAAATCTACAAGGGGATTGACTAGTATAGACAATAAATTTGAGTGATTCCAGTAGCAGAGAATCTCTCTCTCCCACCACCAGCAAAGGAGAAGCAGGCAGGCAGTGGGTACCCTTCAGGAGTGGCCATTCTTTAATTTTATTTTATTAATTTTAATGAAGATTTACAGAGATTTTGGATTTCCATTCATTCATTGTTGCACTATTTTCTCTACCCCTCCACAGTTCGTTCCTCTCTTTTTTCCTCCCTGAAAGTCTGTTTTAATTGTCCCATTGCCACAGTGCTTGTCAAAACCAGTTCTGATTAATCTCCTTTGTCAGTGTGTCCTTTGCCATTCCCTATCACTCCTCCCTGAGAGAGATTTCACCCTGATTCATAAGGAAAAGGGGGCAGTGTATTCTCTTAGCTACTTCCTGCTGAAAAGGGACGCTGTAGGTTTCAGGGTGAAGATCTTCTCTACTCTAAAGGGCCCCTTTGGCCATAGGAAACACATAGACTATTGTGGAGATTGATTTTGAGGATTGGCCATTCTTGTGCCAACAAGACTTACAGCAGTAGCAGTCATGACTGAAGCAGAGAATCAGAGTCAACATGAGATGGATTTGACCTTAGAA